CCAGCTCCAAGACAAGCCTCCTGCTAACGGGAAGCATAGTCCTTCCTGATTCCAGGGCAGATGGCGGCCCTGCAGAATTCCATGGGGCTGCTCTTCTGGGATGAGAGTGCTGACTGCTTCTTAATGTCAGAGGTCCTTGGCCCTTTAAAGCGTCCTTTCCCCACATCTGGGCTCCCTTCTGTTCATATAGGTCCTAGTGACCACTTTGTTCTTTGAAAAAGTACTGCAGGCATGTGCATATGTATATGTGTGATATTCACATAGACATAAAACTAAATGGACATATACTTATAATTAATAGGCACACACGAGGTGATCGAAAAATACGGTGAATGCCGAAACTAAAAAGAAAATTGTAACAATAAAAGCACATTGCAATTAATCCCCCTTGCTTCACACCTATCCCATCATTCTGGCACTTTCTGAAGCAGTCCAGTTTTATGAATGTCTTTAGGAGGTGTGATCAAAAATATGGTGAATCTGGGTGGGGGGGATATAGCTCAGTGGCACAGTGCCTGACTGTCAAGTGCAAGGTTGTGAGTTCGATCCTCTGTATCCCCCCCCCCCCCGCCATGTGATGAATATTGTTGTTGACTGTGGTCCAGGAGAAAGGCAGACTTGGTGAAAATACTGCCAGTGCCCTCATTCACCTGACTCACCAGATCTGACGCCAAGGGACTCTGGCTCTTCCCCAAAGTCAAAATAACCAGAAAAATGCATGTTTTGAATTAACTCAGGATATCAAGGCAGCCAGGACAGTGGGAATAAAGACGTAAAAAGACTTCCAACCCTGCTCAGAAAGTGCCAAGAATGGTGGGATAAGTGTGTTCAAAGTGAGCAGGATTAGTGACAGTATATCTTCTACTATAATAAATATTTTTGATTTAGACATTTACTATATTTCTATCATACCTCCTACTTACACACACACACACACACACACACACACACACACACACACAATTTTGTGAAAGTGTGAAGAAACAGAAACTGAGACTATGGTCTTCCCTTTCCAAGCTAGTGCTCGCCCCACTTCCCCCTGCACTGTCTGCCCCCTGCAGTGAGAGGAGGAGGCTGGGGCTAAGGCCAAGGCAGGAAGATCTGCTCTGCTCCCCAGGGCCGGGTGTGCACAGCAGGGACACGTGGAGAGGTGTGTTCAGAGCTGGTCTCATCCTTGCAGGAAGCAGATGACTCCTCCCCTGGGTGACCAGTGTTGGAGCCTAATCCACTAACACACCTCAGTGCTTGGGGTCAGCATGCATGTCCTAAGGCACAGATGGGGCTTTACTGTCCACTCTGTGTTCTTAGTGACTGTCTCAGTGGTCAGGACAACAGTTCCAAAAATGTTTACTGAACAAATTTTCCTGTTTAGTAGACTTTCAAATGTAAATAACTGTGAATGGGCCTTTCTTCTTCTTCTTCTTCCCTTCCTTCCTTTCTCCCTTCCTTTCTCCCCCCGCCTTTCTCTTCCTCTCTCCCTTTCCTTTCCTTCACCTCCCTCCTTCCTTCCCTTTCTTTTTTCCTTCCTTGCTTTCTTTCCTTCTATGCTGGGCTGGAGCCCAGGGCCTCATGCATATTAGGCAAAGACTGAGTCATACCTTCAGCCCCAAATGGGATATATTTTAAATTGTCACCTGTCTCCTACTCCATGGTATTGACAAACAATGAATATTTGGAGAGCAAGTTTCATGGCAGTGAAAAAGTGGTTGGTGTGAAACTACTGGGTTCTGAGAGTACAGGTAAAAATAGAGAAACAGGACAGATATTGGGCCAGGAAATAAAGAGACTAATGGCAACTATTACACAATGGGCACTGGGACTGTCCTGCCTCCCAGGGAGACCTCTCCTTACCCTGCAACTGAGCTGGCTGGCATCTGGGAGGCAATCCAGACCACTCTTCCCTCCCTGGGATTCCCCATTTCCTATTTCCCCTGAGTTAATAGATGCTTCCTTTCTTTCCTGAAACAACTTCATGTTTCCATTAGTCACTTGAAACCAGTTTTTCCATCTAGTGTTCTTACTTCTTGATCAGTCACTGCTGTGGTTACTACTGCAACCGTGGCATCCACCTACTGACCCACGGTGTCTTTCAGCTCCTACCCTACTCCTGACTGTGGTCCATGCCACGCCATAGCATTACCAGGTCTTGAGTATTTCCTCCCGCTGAGCACCACCTGTATCTATACATTTAATGTAATTGTCAGGATAGCCAGGTGAAAAAGGAATTGCCACAATAGCCATGTCATAATAAGTCTTGTGCTTATTTTTGCAGGCAAGGAAACTGAGATTTCCTGGTAAGTGACTGAGCTGGAATTCAAACTTCTGGTTGTCTGATTTTATAACATCCCTGTTTTTTTCAGCTACACCATCCATTGTCTTGTCCACAAACTCTTAAATCTTATGTTCTCCATTAAAGCCATCACATGGTCACCAGTGGGTTTTCAGCAATCCGGTCTTGTTCAAGTTTGTTACTCTCTTTTCTTGTCAGGCTCGATACATCTTCACCGTCCTGGCTCTACCCAGCCCTCAGCATCTGGCCAATGCTATAACCTCTGCTCTCCTGCAGCTCACTAAGAGATTTCAGCAGTTTTTGTTACTTTTCAGTTTGAAAGCTTCATTCTTTGCCAAAGATGAGCTGGCATTTTAAAATGAGATGTAGGACAAGGGGTTTGATAATGCTCTAACGTGCAGCAAGAGTTAGTTTGAAGTAGACAAAGTCTTGGTTTGGGGTATCTGTATCATTCATTAATCCACATTGCCAATCATTTTAACCACCCTTAGCCTAAATTCTGAAACAGAAGGATACCACTTTCAGCAGAATACAGTGGCTTCTTTCCAGAGTCTGCGACACTCTGTTCCAAGACTGACTTAAAAGCCTTAATTACCTGAAGAAACTCTGAAAAAAGTGAGAGAGTTCTTATCACTAACTGCATCTTGCAATCATATTGTCAGATTAATGTTCATGCACTTAACAAGTCCTTGTCTCATTTAACTCAATGCTCCCTGTCTTTTCCTGGATCCATAAATGTGGGTGACAAACTTGGGGGAGCCCTGCACCCATCAAAGGCAGATGTACGTGCCACGCTAGATTCTGGCGGCACCCCACCAATTTGACTCTTGTGTTCAGTGCATACCTTCAAGGTCACCTTTACGCAGCATTTCTGGTTCCTCCATCCTGCCAAGATTCAAGAAAGTTAAGATTTAGGATTTAAGAGGAGTAAAAATGGTCCAACAAAAAGCCAGAAAATTGGAAAGTCAAAAAATGGAACTGTTTCTGTTTCTGACTAGCGCAGGTGATTTGATAGGTGTTAGTAGCTGCCTTGATGTCTACAGAAGAGGAGGAAAGAAATAAGCTTTCTAGCGTGTGTATCATGAGCCACACTTCTCTACAAAGCCATCTACCTCTAATCCCCACAGTGTCCCAGCAGAACTGGTATTATTGCCTGACTCTGACACATGGGGAAAACTGAGGCTCTTGGAGGGTAAGTGAAGAGCCAGAGGCTTTCAGCATCCTGGCAGCAATGAAGGAGCCATCTGTCTGGCTGAGTTAGCTCCCGGGACCCCATCCTTCTCTCCATCACAGTCAGGTTGTCCTCTGCTGCTGTTAGTGGAGCTTGTTCCGTCCTTTGTAGACCAAAGACACAATTTACATTGAAAATTAAATCGAAGAGAAGGGGTCCAGACAACTTGATCCTCAAGACTGTTGGGGGCACACAGACCGGGGTTTAGAATTTGACTCTGCCAATACTTTTCTGTTTACTATTTCTGAGGCATTAGGAGAGATAGGAGCCTTGTCTTTGTCAGCTATGAAATTGGGCCAGGAGGAGTCAATGTTGTAAGTATAAATTGTAAGTGATGTTTACTCCATCAGATGGGTCTCCTAACTGGCAGGTGTTAGTAACCCTTATAGTCTCCACTGAATTTGGACTCTGTGATGGCTCTCTGTATCTCCTGTGTCTCAGGAATATATATCTGGGGAAAGCTTGCATTGATGGTACATTCGGGCTGCTTAAATGCCATGCACCCTCAGCTCCCCAAGAGTTTCTGTAGCTGAAACCCAGCCATTTGAACTGTAGGTATTCCTCAGCTTCCAATGGAGTCATGTTTGATAAACCTACTGTAAGCTGAAAATATGACAGATTACTGAAGCTGAGAATATCATGAATTAAAAATGCATTTAATACCCTTAATCTATCAAATGTCCTGGTTTAGCCCAGTCTACCTTAAATGTGGTCAGAGCACTTATTAGACTATAGCTGGGCAAAATTATCTAAACAAACTCAGAAAGTGTTGATTAGCTTATATAATTTATTGAAAACTATATCAAGGTAAGAAGAAGAATGGTCATATGGGTATGACTGTCCAGGATCATAAAATTAAAATATCATAACTCAAGCCTTGGGATGCCCGAAGCTTAGACAAATGCTGTCACTTCATTGTGAACTAACTAACCCACAGATGACAAGGCTGGCCCAACCTCCCAGAGAAGGGAACAACCAGCATCTCTTGCCTGTGGTTAGAGGCATCCTGACCTCACAGTTCCTGAAGCCTCCCTCCTAGGGTCCCCTGTCACCCAGAGCTGGTACACTGTCCTAGGCTACAACCTTAGCCATTGATAGAAAGAAAGGAAAAATATTTAATGTGACTGAAAATGAAAACCAGAAGCCCTCCACATTTGAGGGGTTCTAGCTGGAGTTTTCTGCGGGACCCTAGTAGAGTAAAAGCATCTGCAAACTCAAGGCTGGTATTGTGTAAGAGTTTCTGGAAAAATGAACAGTCAGCTTCTCCAACCTCAGCTTTGCAGTGATGCTAGGTATATTCTCTAGTGGGCACGACGCATAACACCGCATCTAAGGTGCTTTCAGAAGGCCCTCCTGCAGGGTGCTCCGTCTTGCAGCAGGCTTGACCGGGACTGAGGAGCCTGTCTGAGCAGGACTCCTGGCTGTTTTGCAGCTGCGGCTCTGTCTGAGAGGCATCCTCAGGTTTGGAGCTGGGGGACAGAGTGGATTTTCCAGGGGATTCAGGGGGCTGGAATGAAACAAGAGCAGTGCACTCTGACCTGTCAAATGCTAAAGCTGGCCTCATTTGAGCCTGCCGCCCATGCCCCCTTCCTCCTGTTGGATCCCCTTTAATTTCCGACAACTCCCTGGCCCCAACTAACTAACGGAGCCCTGTGCAGCAGATCGCTCCATAGCGTTCGGAGGCTGTCTGGACACTGCCCGAGCAGGCCGGAGGCGTTCGTGAGATTTGATTGTCCCCGAAGGAGGTGAAGTGGCCTCTGAGGCCCCGCGGGAGGGGCGGTGGCGGGGAGGCGGCAGCGCCGAACTGCTGACTGTGTGAATGTGGCAGGCTCATTGTTCCTCCGCTTTATTCTGCAGGCCTCGATGGGGCTGATTTAGAAATCCTAATCAGGGCGCTCTCAGGGCTTCCCGGGTGTGACACAACTTGAGCGGCTCTGGGGGATTCTTTGTTCTCCGATGACAGCTGACTTGGTCGCCAGTGGGAACAGTCCGAGCATAACTCCACACTGCATGTGCTGGCAGCTCCGCCTTAACTCTTTGTTACCCATTCCTGGGTTCCTGGCTTGCCTGCTCCTGCGTCCAGATGGCAGCTCTTCAGTCACCTTGCCGTGGATGTGGGGCAGGGGTTTGTACTGAGCGGGGAAGGAGCGCGTTGTGATTTTTCAAGAGTGATTTTCCACTCTTGCTTCTCCCTCCCACTCCTCGAGCGTCTACTCAGCTGGCCGGAAAGATTGTTCAGCTTGAGGCCTGCGCCAGCCAAGAGCAGTCGCCATCTCCTTGGGTGCCTGGGTGATTTTATTTCTGTCCTGCCTGGCAGAAGTAACTAGAGGCTAATGGGCAGAAGGTTTACATATTTGCTCACATTCTAGGACTTTAATCTAAAAACAAAACCAGGCAGCTCAGAAAGCCTGATGAGAAGATTGCAAGACAAAGAGAGCACTGGATTTGGAGCCAGGCACACCTGTAGCATCACCTCACGATCAACTTCAGACACACTGTTTGTCTCTCCAAGCCTCACTATACCAATCTGTAAAAGGGGAGATAGATATGAGTGGCATGACCCCAGCAACTGACTGGGAGGACTGCATGACACAGTGCAAGTGAACGTCAGTCATAACCATTACTAAACGGCATGGCCAGTGCTGTTGCCGTGATACCGTACACTTTCTCCAAAGAGAAGGTGCTGCTGCTTCCTGATGCAGCAAAGAAGCAATCGATGAAGTCTCTGCAATCAAATTGCCACTCAGATTCTTTGGTTCTGGTTGGAAAGGCAGCCAGAAGACATTGTTAGAAAGTTATATCTGGCACCAGATCAATTTTTCATCCCACAAACTGTGTGCCAGCCTTGAGCTGGACACTCAGGATAACAAGGATAACTAGGACATAGATGTGGCCTGATGGAGCTGAGAGGGTAACAGTGGGTGCACAGCCAGGACCCTTGGTGACAGATACAGAGGCACCACTCTAATTGGCATGCAGGAAAGGACACTTTGAAAGACAGAATAGTGGAGTTGATGGGCCTAAGGAAACATTATCAGTGATGTTATCTCTAGGAGGGGAACAAGGTAGCTTTGTTTCAGAAACAGCTAGGACCACAACTCAGTGGGATCAGGCCCCTCTCTCTGGTTCTACTTCCTGCTTCTCTGTGTTTTCAGATGCCTTCGCTGTGTCTCCGCAGGGTCCTATGGAGAATGGTGAGCAATGCAGGCAGAGCCACTCTGAAAACACACAACATTCCAGGTGAGGAACTTGCTGACCTGGCTGCAGTCAAACACTCACTCAGAGCTGAGCTTGGCCATGGGCAGGTTCACATTCTGTCCTGGTCAGCTCTGAACCCCTGTGAAGGAGAGATGGGAGGTGAACCAATTTTCAAGAGATGCTAGCGGGATAACTGAGTAGGAGAACGGCACAGAGAACAAGGCCCAGACACAAAGGAATTTTGATTTTGTCTCTAGCCCAAAAGAGAGGGAACCACTGGAAAATTCAACTAAAGAATGACACGGTCATATTTATATTTTTCAACAGCACAGTTATAAGTGAGTGGATGGGGGGGAACAGGTGCGGAGACCGAGTGCTATCAATAGGGCACTGCACAGTCTGAGCGTTAGACGGTGAGTAGAGTCGTGAAGCAGAGTGATGAATGCAGAGATCACCAGGAGGAAACAGACGCAAGAGGACTCTATGGAGCCACGCACTGCCTACTCCTCTCCTCCACTCCAGCCATCCAGCCATATCCAAAGGAACTTGCTTTTTCCTGTCTTTCGTATGATTTTAATTTGAAAAGATTGTTTTTGTTGAAATACTATCCCGCTCTCTTCTTATTGGGCAAAGTGAGAAGTAAGGAGTCTGACTTAGAAGTGATGGATCGAGGTTAAGTGGGAAGTTAATGAGGACCTAAGGTGGGTGACTGCAGTAGAAATGGGAAGGCAGGAGTAACGAGAGAGACCATAAGGAGGTGCGCTTCTAAAAATTCTCAAGTTGCTCATGAGGATCCAATGAGAGGCAAGGGCCACGTATGAATCCCTAATATGGAACTTTGGCCAAGGAAAGTGGTGGGTCCATTAACAGAATTAGTGGGGTCAGCAAGTAGAGATGGCTTGGTTTGCAGTTAAATGAATTAAGGCATATATAAATTCTTATTTGAGAAGGAAAAGAAAGGAAAAAGAAAAAAGTGTATGTGTTAGATCTAAGGTACATAACACCAAGATACTAGAGGGTGTCTTCTATCAGATCTGTTGATATCTGTGACGATAAAGACTATAAAGCCAGGATGAGTGATAAATGTTCCTGGAGAATATGTTTGGGATTAGAAATAGAGTCTTCCTGGTTTTTGGAGGGGATGGGACCAGATGATATTGAGTGGTATTCTTTCCCCTGAAATCTCCATCTGTCATCTGTCTATTGATCCATTGATCCATCCATTCATCCAAGTAAACATTATTCTCAACAATCTCCTATCATCTTGACTCTGCACTTTTGGAGAGTCGAAGAACGATAGGCGACTTCATCACTACATTAGTAGAATACAGCCAGTAAATCATAAAATCTCCAAAAAAAAGTGCAGTAGCCAGAGGGTCTTCCTGCAGATTAATCATATAGCCAGTGCTTCATTTTTAGTTAAAAGTCAAACCATTTGTTTCCAGTATAATGCCTAAAGTTCTCTCTTTGCAATTGGTATTGGGATTATCTAACATTATATTATCAATTTCTAATTTAATGTTTTCATTTTCTGGATTGATTGAGGACTTTGACATTTACCCTTCACAGTGATCCACGGTTTATGTTTAGAGAATCAGAGAATGTGAACTCATTGAAGTACTCACTCTAGCTACATATTCGAAGGATCTGTGTTCTAGAGTGCATGTGTGCACTGCTGTCTTCTCTTTGCAATAAGGACCATTGGAAGTTGATGGGACTTAAAGAGACCCTGGACAAGAGAAGCCAGGTAGGCAGTTTAGTAGACCATCAAGCCAGCCAGTCTTTTTCCTTTTTATCGGTACCAGGGATTGAACCCATGACTGCCTGCTTGCAAGGCAGGCACTTATGCCGCTGAGCTAAATCCCCAGCCCCAAGCCAGCCAGTCTTAAAAGAGGAGATTCTGTTTGTCATTTAAATTTCTAGGGCTTCAAATTAACTTTAAGAACAAAATTGATAACTCACTGACCATTTTGGCATAAATCTTGGTTAGAATCATTTTATGTTTAATTAAAAGAGATTGATTAGGATTTTTTTTTTTTTTTTTTTGGTGGTGGTGGTACCTGGGATTGAACTCAACCTCGTGCTTGCCAGGCAGGCACTTACACCACTGAGCTAAATCCTCAGCTGATTAGGAATCTTAAAAAACCAGGAAAAGACAACTTATTTCTGCTGTTTTTCTTTTCTTTTTTCTTTTTTTCTTCTGCTGTCTTCTCCTCCTCTTCCTCTGCTTATCTTTTTCCTCCTCTTCTCTTTGCTTCCTCCTTCTCTTTCTCCTACTCCTTATCTGTCTCTCTGGCTCTGTCTCCTTCTTACTCTCTCTGCCTTTCAGTCTCTGCCTCTGTCTCTTTCTGCCTCTCTATCTCTTTGTCTCTCTGTTTCTCTCTCAACAGAAGAGATGTATTAGCTTACCCTAAGGAAGAGTAACCGAGTAAGTGAAATTCAGGATTAGGATGTATCTGTTTGAAACAGTAGAGAATTAAATTATCAGAGATCTGATTCTATTTTTTCTCTTTGTTCTGTATTTACTGGTGCCATTTTCTCTTTTAGGCTAATTTCCTTCTGTTTTGGTCTATGCATTAGACATGTTATCTTTCATCTATTCAGTCCACAAATGAGGAGGTGATTTTGATAGTTCTCTGTCAAAGTCAGAAGCTTACTTTCTCAAGAACGGTAGCCTCATTTCCTTTAGGAGTTAGCTGAGGAAATGCCTTGTGTTGATTGCCATAGATTTCATTGGCCCTAACCTGTCAGTGAGGCAGGAGAATACGCATCCAATCTCTGATTGGCCCAGCCTTGCAACTGAGTAGGGTCAATTTCCCTTTAACCCTGTAACTACTACACAATGGAAGAAAAACAGAAGGGCTGTTGGAAATGTAACTATACTTTGAGCTGCAATAAGTCTTTAAAAGTTTCAGTACTGAATAAACCAGCATATTTTGAGTGCTTTTTATACGCAGCGAGATTTGGTAGTTTTGGGCAATGAACTGCAAATATCTCACCTTGGCCTAGATGATTAATGACCCAGGATCTTAGCACAACAGCCTGAATCCCTCTCCAAGCTTTCATGGATTTATTGTGGAGATAAAGACTAGACTTTGAACAATTCAAATCACTGAGTTTCAAAGCACCTAAATAGGAACATATTTGCAAGAAAAAGAAGTAGGTGTTGCTGGAAAGCTTATTGATTCCCTTCTTCCCTGTGTATGTTTGATGACAGCTGTTTGGGAAGCATTATGACCACTGGATCTATTGGGCTGTGGCACAACTCCAGTTAATATTTGACTATTGACTTCCTGTTGCAGCGAAAACTAATACTGAAGAATATACCACATTATGGCTGTCTCCCTTGTCCTTTTCTTTCTCAACTTTTGTGTTTATGCCTTTTTAAAGAGAAAGGGAATACCTTTCCTTGGAGGGGATGGTCACTGTTTCTCTTAAAGAAAAAGAAAGGAAAAAAAAAGGGAAGGGAAGAGAAGGGAGGAAGACAGCTACTGATGACTTGGTCATATCATCTACTAAAGAAGAAAGATTAAGTTTTTGGAAACGTATATTCGTTTCGTGCCTTCTTGAGAAGATTATCCTGTTGCCCATCTTAGAGACTATCTGAGTTTGTAGTTAGATGAGAAAGTGAGGAACAGAAATTGAAAAGAAAAGGTCTTTGCTGAATGATGCCAGCAGGTAACTGAGTGATAATAACTCCTAGGGCAGAGAAGTGAAGCTTCCAGAGCTCCTTGGCCTCAGATTCCCCGTCTCACTCTCAGCATATTGAAGGATCTTGTCGGTATTTCATTCCCTAAGCACCTGTATCCACCAGGCCATCCTTCATGGATATTTCCTGATTTCCTGGCTTCAGCTGGGTGGTGTTTCCATGGCAACAGAGAATGGGGAGGGGGATGTGGAGGCAGCTCAGTCCATTTGTCATCAGTTGCCACTGTTTTGTTCCGCCTGGTGTGTGCTCTTGATTGTGTCTTGGAGGAGGCAAAACAGACTGGAGAGATTTGAGAGGGGCTGTTCCCATCTCTGATGCTGGGGGTGGGATGTATAACCTGGGCACTGCCTGCAGACACAGTCAGGCAAGGGGATGATCAGCAGAGTGGCCACTTTCCCTGGGAGCGTGCTGTTTCTGCAACTCAGACATCGTGTTTAGGAGGAGGGCCCGAAGGCCTTTAAGTTAGCACAGAGACCTTCACTATTTTGTTGAATTAAGAGGTAGGAAATTCAAATTCAACTTCTGTCTAATATAGACTCAGACATTATCTTCGTTATTCTGTTTGGAATTTTATTTAGAAACAAAAGTGTGTGGGTTACCCTTGTGCCTCCTCTCCACTATATGACCTGCACTTTTATTCCGCCACTCAAAAGAAGATTGTCCCTCCCATCAGGCTTAAAGAGCTCAAGGCAGAAGGTGGCATGAAACAGTTTTGGTTGGCTTGGCTTAGGAATATCTTCTTTGCCACTGTTCTGGGCCCAGGGAACCCTTCATTTGGCACCACTCCTATTTTTGCTTTTAACAAAGGCTTGGTTGAGTTCCTCCCACCATTGCAGCAACATGCGTGATGCTCTCTCTTTCTGCTATGGGGAACTTACCGTGTCCAGAGGTTCCTTCTCCATCTGTATTCATGGGCTGGCATCTGGGCACGGGTCTCAACACGCTATGGCTCCTTTTCTGAAACTTTTCCTCTTCCACCTCCATCCTATGGAATGTTGCCTTTTCCCTCTCCTCTCTGTTGGCTCTTTCTCCAGCGTTCATCTCCCTCTTTGTCTCCTCCTACTCTTTAAATGTCTCTTCTTGCTTTTCTTTTCCTACTTTCCTTTCCCACTTCTGCAGCTCAGTGGGTTCGGAGCCCGGCTCACCCTCCCAGGCTGTAGCTAGGAAGACCACTCTGCGTGATGGCTACAGAACACTCGGAAGGAATGGGACCGTCCCTTCACATTTCCTCCTACTCTTCTCTTGGCACTGTGGACATCTCTTCTAGTGGTTTCAACACCAAAGCTTTGCCTCGCCTTTCAGCACTCCCCCTCAGGACCTGACTCTCTCTTCCTTGTCTCCTCTCTGCTGCTCTTTCTTACTCTCATGCCCCTCCCCAGTAGCGTGCATATTTTTGGGCTCTCATTTCTTCACGTGCCTGGACCAGGGATCTAGGCCGTCTCATTTCTTCTCCTTCTACTTTGTCCTTCCTGCCACTTCTGCCACTCTGGCCGAGTCCTGCTCTGCTCAAAAGCATTAATGCCTCCAACTCCTGGAAATCAAAGTCCTATCTTTGTTTCCTTCCAGACAAGCACCACCCCCAGCACACGCACATACACCCTTCAGATATGTCCTGCGCTCTGCCTCTCTGGTTGTCCCCTTCTGCTTTTGTGTCTATTGGCTAAGCCTTCTGACTCCTGGAGACAGCTGCTGAGACCATTTGAAGGCATGCTTTTGGCAAAAGACATCCCAGGAATTTATTTCAAGAAAACAGTCAGATAGCTGTGCAAAGATATGTGCAGAATCAGTGTCATTATAGCTTTATCCATAATGTCAAAAAACAAAAACAAAACACCAGCGTTTAACAATATCAATACAATGGAACACTAGGCAACCACTATGAAACAATATATCTCTATTTACCGACATGGAAAGGCATTCTCAACATTCTTCTATATTCTAAGTAAAAAAGTTACAGTGGTGTATATTAATATATCAGTGATACATTAATACATAAAGACATATTTATGAGCATAAAGGATTGGACATATTAGTGTGTACATATTAGTGGCTAGAATTATAGTTAGCAGTTTATTTTTTTCACTTTTTAAAAATCAGTGTTAAAATCTTTCCACCATAACTGTGCAATAGTAACATAAAATAATAGTTTACAGCATGCGGAGGCAAAGCAATTCAAAGCACCTTAAAAATTGTTCTGTCTTCTTTGGTCACCTTGCCTTTGCTGACTTCATCATGGAGGCTCTGTAAGGACTCACATCCCCACATTGTGGGAAAGCGTTCTCTCTTCCCAAGCACACTTAGGATCTGCTGTCCAAAGCCCCTGGTTTCTGTCCTCCTCCTTCTTAGGAACCCGTGTTTTTCTCTCTGGAGGAGGGAGGCTAAGGTGGCAGATGTATAAGCAGAGGGCTGGGGTGAGGATCAGATGATGTGTGTGTGGGGAGCGTTTTGAGAATCACCAAATATTGTGCTGTGTCAGGGAGTGTGGCCCATTATGACTACCGAAGCCCTTGAGTGTAACTTGGTGGACGGTTGCCTTGGTGTTTTTCAGCCTCAGCCCTGACCCTGGAGTGAACCCAGCCCAGGTTCAGCATGGGTTACAGTGCTGGCCCCTGGGCTGGCTGTGTGGGTGGAGGGGGTAGGATGCTTCTCTACGTGCTCCCACCACTTCCTGTTCCCTCCAGTGCTTCCGAGGTGATGCTCGAGGCTCCTACGCTGTGTCCTGAGGGAGCCTGTTTGGTAGCCACACAAAGTCTTTAGCTCTGTCGGCTGCCTTTGTGATTGCTTCTCGAGACCTGGTGGGTGGGCTGGTCACCAGGAGCTGCGGTCCTTCATGCTGCTGGCTGTGATGATGAGGGCTCTGGCCGAGGAGTATTCCGATCATGATGTGACTGTGCATGTGTGTGTGTGTGTGTGTGTGTGTGTGTGTGTGTGTGTCTGTTTGTTGCCTAGTTCAAAGTCTCCTCTATGTATGAGAATGGGCCCAACCTCATGCCTTTTAAACTGAGTCAAGACTCAAATCCACCCACTCAGGCCCTCAAGAATTGGGAGTGGGAAGGACAGTCTGAGAAGGCCTAAGGAGGGACCAGAGATATGTGCCAGTTTCTAGGACAGTTGTGACGTGAGCATGGAGAAAAGGTCTCATGTATCTCATCTGCTCATTTCCCTATGGGAGCAGGGGCAGCCGCAAGCTGAGCCATGGGAAGGGAGAGGAGGTGGATGATAGTCCAGAAGACGGATTTGAAGGCAAGGGGATGTGATAGCCTAAGACCATTTATCTTGGCCTGGTTGGGAGGCCATTTGGCCAGCCCAACAGAACCTGTCAACAGCTCGAATGTGAGGTCAGATGGGGCTCGAGGCCTCATTAGCTATCACCAGAGCCTGCATCTCAACCTCTTGAGTCATCCATGATGAAATCCTTTATCAGCCTGGGAGGAGGCAGCCGCAAGGAAAAAACTCCCGTGTAAGACCTCATTTTGAAGAAGGCCACATCCGGAAGAACGGCCAGGATGAGTTTTCCCTGATCCACACTCCAAGATAACCAAACAAGTTGCCTCACTAAGGGAGTTATGTAGTGTTCTCCATCTGGGACTGGGGAATGTGGAGGTTCTTCTTGCAAAGCCAGACTAGCTTAACCCTTCAAGTACCAGACTGTGGGTTTTTCAGCGTTCAACTTCCCTTGAAACCTACAGTTTCTCTCTTTTAGAGGGATACAGAGAAACGACTGCTAAGGGATGGCGCATGAAAATAGTTTAACTTTTGCACAAAGATTAGGGCTCATTATGGGGCAGGAAGTGATAACCCTTCAGGAGAGTCAGGAGCTTTGTGGGAGATGTTCTGCTAAAAAGAAACAGTTGCAGTCCTCAGGGGCACATGGGAGTGATAGAGGAGAGCAGAATATCTTGCACCTCCTGTGTGTTCAAAGGCTTCAAGGTCACCCCCAAATTGCATGGAGGAGAGGTTGGCTTCCAGTCCAGCATGCGAATAACAATAAGGTACTGGCAGCCTGAAATGGGGTTGGAATCATGAAGGAGGCTAGAATTTTTAGTACAGCCTTGAAAGAAAATATCAGCCCACTCCACCCCTGGGATGGGAATACGGTAGGAGGCTAATAAAATAAATAAAATCTGCTGTCTGTACCGATCAGGCATAAATTGTTACTTGAATGGCAAAGGAAAAAAAATGTGCTAGATAATATTTCTGGGCTTGTTTTTCATCTCCTCAACCTCATGTCCCTTATTAAACTGTTCCAAAGAGACCAACTGCATGAAGGCCACAAGAGAGGTTAGAGTCATGGGAAATCAGGTGTGGCACTGAGCAGACTGGAGCAGAGGAGGCCAGGGGTCTTCTGTATCCTCAGGCCAACACTCCCATTCCTGAGACCTCTTTTTGGGTGGCCACGAGAGGGGTTTGGTTGTTTGCATTCAGTATCAATATTTCCCAAAGCTACCCCAGAACCTTTTTCAACAGAAAAGCACATAACACCTTCAAAAGGAAACTCAATTGTCAGAAAACAACTCAATTTGCGGTCTTAGGGAAGCTCAGATTATTCTTTTGAGCTTCAAGTTTGCTGTTCTTTGAAATTTTTCCAATGTCAGCTTCACTAAGGAGGAAGGAAGAGACTGAAGATGGTCCCTTATGCCAAGCTTTTTAATTCTACTTCTGGGCGCTGTGGGTCCATGCTGGTAGCTGCTTGGTTGTTTTAAGGGGTAACCATAATTTCATCAGGAGGCCTTACGTATTTATGATGGTGATGAAAAGAGCCAGGCCATTCATAAAAGGGTGCGTTCATTTGCTGTAGTGGTTGCTCTGGTCTTGCTGCCCTGGGTGGGCTGCTGAGAGGGGTGAACTGTGCTTGGGCCCTGAGAACACAAAGAAGAAAATAGGTGGAAGTGCTGTGACCTCTTCCACATGGATTCAAATCACGCACTCCAGGAGGCATGGCTCCTAGAAAGTGTCACTTAAATTGTCCCAGCACTTAGAACCAATCAGAGAAGTGACATGGGTGGCCGGTCCTGGGAATGAGTTAGCTGTGAAAGTTCAGAGAGGGAGCTTTGTCATGTGGGTGCTGTCTAAACTTCCTGTGTTTTCTTTTCTTTTGGTTTTCTTATCCAATTCCCCGCACCCCGTTTCTCTCTAAGTCCAGGATCTGATGGCCCTCGGGGAGCTGAGGGGGAGATGGCTAGCTACACTTCAGCCAGAGCTTTGAAGGGTGAACCACGAGTCCCAGCCTGACATGAGTGAGAGGAAGAGAGGAGTGAGGAGGAATGGGACACTCAGGAGGGACATCAGCAAGGCCTGGTCAGCTGCCATCTCCCCACCTGGAGAGGCAGCTTCCAGTTCTAAAGCCCTGGGGACTCTGTGTTTTGTTTGAATAAGGGAAGCTGTTTCCCTTACATCCTTTCAAAAATAAATAAATAAAAGGCTATCGTATCATCTTACAGATGTTGTTACTAACAAACAAAGGTTTAGTCCTTTTTTTGCTTTTCAAAATCAGCTCAGAAGGCAGAGAATGGAGCCCAAAGGAGTATTTCTGAGATGCCAATAGCTGACTGGCTGTTCATCTCTGTCTTGTATTACTGCTGCCAGTGATAAAAGCAAGCCGCTCGCACCATCACAAGGACCTCTGCCCTCCTACCATCACCTCCTATCCGCCACCACAACCACCGTCACCTCCACCATACCCATGTTACCACTTCTACCACCGCCGCCGCCGCTGCCGCCATCACCATTGCCACCACCAAGCAGCCCTTAGGAACATGAGTCAGGAGTGGCCAGTGTTAGCCAAACCAAACCTGCCAGATTATTGAGCCAGTTGGAGGATACTGAACGTACAGATGGTTTATTCTAGGTTAAAAAGTGAATTCTAGAGATAATGTGACAGTTGCCGGACAATAGCCGCAGCTTTATGTAAAGCCGGAAGTTCTGGGCTTTTGTCTTTTTCCTTTACCATGTAAGTGACATTGAGTCCCTTCTGTTTGGGGCCTCAATGTTTTATATATAAAACAAGAATAATAAAAGCCCAAGGCCTTACAGAGTTTAAAGGAGAAAACGTAAAAAAGACACATATTATCTGACTGACAAAAGATATTCAAAAATCCTTCCTTTGGTTCCTTCCTCCCACTTTTGCCCTCTCTTTCTTTTTACTCTTCTATTTTTCTCTCTTATTAATCTTAGAGCTGAGGTCCTCTTCCATTAATAAACCTCAAATTCCAAAATGTCAATAAAGAATAATATTAAACTTCCATAACTAGCGCTTGAGCTCTTGACAGCCTAGGTTCACAGTGTGCTCTGCCTGTCCTCAAAGAGAAGTTAATCCCCAGTCCCCGGCACCCAACATGTGGCAGATGATAAAGGGCCCTGGAGGCGGGAGGTCCGGTTCTTCCCAAAAATAAGGTCAGGCCCTGTGCAAGGGCTAATGAGAAGGTCAGGCTTCATTTCTGTGTCTTCCAGAGGAGCTCAAGGGTGAGCAGGCAGGGGAGGCCAAGGCTTCCTGCAGCAGCCTGCCAATTTTGGACTGCAGCTGCTTGCCGGAGAGCTGGCTCCAGAGTGCTGTTTGCTTTGGCCAGATGCGCTACACGGAAACAGTAGTAGGACAATGTCGGGGGAGTGGTAGGGACAGGGCAGAGGGGCCCTGTGCCTTCTCAACAGTGAGAAAAGGTTTTTTTGCAGGTGGTGCTAGGCCTCAGGCTACCTCGAGGAGCCAGCTCTGTTTGGGGTTCGAGATGCTGGCCCGTGAGGATGAGATGCAGGAGCAGAGTGCTGTAAGAAGAATGTGTGGTTCTTGGTTAGGGCAGAAGCAGGCGATGCACCTCCTGGAAGAGAGCGAGGGTCTGAGGGGACCATCCATTTGGGTCCTTGACTCCTATCTCCATTTGGGTTGCGTTTTCACAGGTTGCTGAGGAGTGCTCGCTCATGGGCATACCTGTGTCCTCAAAACAAGAGAGGAGTTGAACTGGGGCAGTAGCAAGGAAGCCAGGAGGTGGCACTGGCAAATGCGACAGCTTTCACAGGGGCCGTAGACGTCCTCTTTCCACCTTTAACTTCATTGCAGCAACAAAATAAGTAAGATTCTTGTGGACTACGTCGCATTCCAAGTGTTCAGTGCTTTAAATATGTCATCACATCCAACCTTTTATAAATAAATTGATTACTTTAGAGCCCAAGCTGCCTAAATGAGGCGGATTATACAGCGGCTCACACAGAGTTAAGAGATGCAATGTGGACTAAAGTCTGTCTATCTCTATACCTGGATTCCTGGCTGCTTCTAATGTTACCCAGGGGATCATAGTGACTTTCCAGTAAGTTCTCCAACCTTAAACTAAGAAACACTCAAGATTGGGACCAGAAGTATTGAAGTGATCAGATATAACAATACACAGAGGAGAACTGGTGATTCTAAAGCATCCTTGATAGCACCTCGTTTCGATCCTGGAAAAAGTGGGTGATTCTCCAGCATTTGGCAGAAGCATGGTCACTGTGTAGCAGTCTTGGTCTGCAAGCATAATTTGATTTCTTCCTACATGGCTGGGTTGAAGGCAAGAGGGGAAAGGAGAAGTGAGAGTGAGGGCAGATGATAACCTCAAGCTCTTAGTTTCTTGACTCCTTGAACTGCTGTGGTGGCTTGAAAGTAACCTTGGCATTGAAAGTAACTCTGAAAGGCAAGAATATTTCCCACAAGCTCATTCAACAGAAGGAAGTCCAGCAGAGTGTCCAGGCCCCAGACAGTTCCTTTTCCTGATGAAGGCCATCAACTCCTCCTGGTTGCTGAAGTAGCTATCTTTCTCTCTAGGGGAAATAAATACCCAAGGAGGAGTTTTCTACTCAATCTTCTCTTGGCTGCTGAAGCTGACTAGAGAGATTGCCTTCTCCATCATTTAAGGAGATGTCTGAGTTCCTTTCTCTTGACTATGGGTGTTACAGTGGGTCTCCCGTGTGACCATCCACAAACCAGTCACCGCAGAAAGAGTTCACAGCCCGCAGCCTTTGTCCAGGGAGGAAGCTGAGCCTCAGGGACTCTAACCTGACCCCAGCCTGCTGCTCCACTTCAACCTTCTCCTCCCCCTCCTTCCTCTAGTCTGATTTCCTCCATATCTTGGGGGGTGGGGTGTCCAAAAGCGAGAGACTATCATGCCCTTGGCCAGTGCCTGGAAGAGGGAAATGTGCTTGACACATGCTCACCCTAAGTGCAGGGGGCTCCCAGCAGGATACAATTAATGATCAGGGGGAGGAGAGGATGGCAACAAGATGTTATTTTCCCTCTTGAGTCCCCAGTTCCTGGAGTTCAGCAACACTTTGTAAGGGACATGAACATCCTGGGGGTCTTATGTAAGTAAAGTGTGGTTGCACACAGGCCTTGGGTATAAAGTGAGGCAGATCCAGGGTGTGCTGTGTGCTGTTCGTCTTGCAGCGGAGATCCAGGGTTTCAGAGGAAAACTGAGGAGTTTGGAAACCAGCTAAAGGGTGTTCGGAAAATTTGCCTGGGTTTAATCATTTGAGCCTAAATTAATATTGAAAAGGGGGAAAAAAAGAAGTGAAGCAGAGTAGCTAATACTATTAAATACTGTTCACGATTAAGCTGAGGGGCCCATAAGCTGTGTAGGTTGTAAATGCAAAAGCAAGGAGCAGGACTTCACTATCCCCGCACCATGATACCACGAATTTGAACCCAGGGCCTTGTCACTGAGCCACATTTCTCGTCCTTACCTTGAGATAGGGTCTTGAAGTCACTGAGTTGCCCAGGCTGGTTTCTAATTTTGCAGTTCTCCAGCCTCAGCCTCCCAGAGTGCTGAGATGACAGGCATGTGCCAATAGTCCAACATCTACCGGATATCTTAAGAGTAGGAAGCTAAAATGTTAATTGGGCATGATTATGCACACCTGTAATCCTAGCATTCTTGGGGAGGCCAAGACAAGAGTATTATAAATTAGAGCCCAGCCTGGTCAACTTAGCTACTCAGCAAGATCCTGTTTCAAAAAAAAAAAAAAAAAAAAAAAAAAAAAAATGTAAGGGCTGGGGATGGAGCTCTCAGTACAAAGACACTTGGGTCAATGCCCAATACTGCAAAGAAAGAAAGAAATGAATAAAGAAAGAAAGAATGGAAGGAAGGAAATATAGAAGGAAAAAGAAAGGGAAAAGAAAGAAAGAAAAGTTCTTGAGAAAAGTCTCTTGATTATAGAATCACTAAAACTCAGAATGTTTTCTTAGGCAGTGAGGCAGTGGTGTAGACCATCACCATCTCTTCCTCAATGAGGGCCCAACCTGTGTAAACTCCTATGGCTGCAGATGCTGCCTTGGACAGAAAAACCCCAGGAACCTCCAGTTCCTCTCCTCCTAGTCCCCCAGGAAAGACAACAAACAGGAAACAAAGGACGAAAATCGAACTGATCACAAGATGTTTAGGAAAGATCAAATTTAGTATGATCTGAATAACCCTGTTGTGCATGTGGACCAGTTTGAAACAATTTCAGGAAATTCTATCTCTCTTGGGTTGGTTTAGTCCAGGCTAATAACAATATTCAACCCTATCTGGTCCAGGCAAGCTCTGAGTGATGTCTTTTGTGATTCTTGGTGAACTTAGTATCAGATAACTAATATAGATTTTAAAATCTTAATGTTATGAAGAAGGTAAGACAAACAAAACTCCCAGAGAGCTAAAATGGTGTGCAGTATCTTTCAAGGGTTCGAGTCAGGACTGGTACTAGCGCTGTAGCTCTGCTTTGGTTTATTCCAGTCCAGTTTTTTCTTCCTTTTTACTATGATTCATAGGCTCAGGGTGACGCTCTAGGTGCTTTGATAGATATAGTGGGTGATAGTCAGATGGAAACTTGCAGGTCCTTCCTTTCCCTGTCCCTTCTCCCTTCCTGCTTCTTCATGGGGAAATGGCTTTCCTGGGAGCTCAGCTGTGCATGAGATAATCAGTGGCCTGTACCTTGCATAGAGTGAGGAAGTTGAGGAGAAAGAAACAGAAACCCTGGACATAGCTCCCTCCAGCAACTTTCATGAGTTCCTATGGGTTTGCTCGATTTGCTCTTAGGAGGCGGTGACCTTGTGTTCATTTTATCTGGGGGAACCCTTGGAGCTCCATGTTCTTCCTCATGACCTTGCTTGGTATGATATAGAAGCTAAGATAGGGCTAAGTGTGGACTTGAGAGCTGGGGCCAAAGCAACTCCTTCTAAACCAAAATCAGGGCATTTCACAGACTGGCCCCAGTGGTAGTAGCAGTGGTGTACACTTGTAATCTCAGAATTCAGGAAGTAAAACCAGGAAGATGGCTGTGAGTTTGAGGCCAGCCTGGACTCTTCAGTGAGCTCAAAGTCAGCCTGAAGTTCATATTGAGACCTTGTCTAAGAAAACAAAAAAACCAGCCCTGGACTATGGGCAGGGCTACCATTTAGAAATGCCCTGGGTTGAGCCGGGCACTGGTTGAAAAAGGACTCTTGACCAGTAC